GGAAAGTATATGACTTCCTACAGTTGGGTTTGGCCAGGAACTCTGCGTTCTCCAAGCTCGAGCGACGACTTCAACCAATCTCTCTCTACCAGGGTTTCTGGGCTTAAGCCAATTGGCTCAAAAGCGCATGGCCAGATGGGAAACAACATGCTATATATGTGGTCTTCCGGATGGCTCGCCTACCAAAACTCATCTTCCTCCCAACCATGTCAAACGTGTCTGTCGTCTGTCTCACTGCCAATCACATCAAACGCATGGCCTTCCACATGGATATTGATCTCATTGTCCCAGTGTCCGACCCATCTACTGTTGAGATCCACCATCACCCATGGAGGGCCAAGCCGCCCTCAAACTCATCAGGATCCGGCGCTCTGTCCTGGCCGCGGGATGGTCATCAAGAGCTTCCAGACACCGCACAACTGATTCTGGAAGCATTAACCCTCGTTCTGAAACACTACCTATATACGTTCTAATCAATTTGTTCAACTAGTTCTCCCATCCATGCAGTTCATCTCTTGATTCTGCAGGTGCAGTTTTCGAGGTGTCAAGAAGCTGACTCTAAAGCCATGCCCTCGGTGTGGTGAAGCAAAGAAAGGTAGTTACACATGTTCACATCCACCACGTGGTACCAGAACCAGAACAATCACAAGCAAATCTCAGGAAATCACGTGAATCGACACACCAACCGTTACTTAGCAATGTAATATCAATATCCTATTAAAGTCCCATTGTGAGCTGTTCGAGCCTCATGCGCCGAGCAGCACTGCTTCCGAAGCTCCTGCGGCGTTTTGTTTGAATCGGGAATTTTCAGAAAACTCATGCTCATACAAATCAAGTTGGTCTATAGTTTACAATAGCTCTGCTTGAACATAAAGGATTAGCTGGGTGTGGGGGGCTGGTGGCTAGAGTTAGTAGCATATTGAAATGATCCTACCGTTTTCAGCTCATGGTTGGCCTCCAACAGGACAGGTAAGCCCTATGAGATTCATCCTACCAATGATCCAGCTGGTTCAAAGGTTTGGTGGGACGGTTCTGAGTAGTTTGCGTCCCTCAAGCACAGTGGTAAGTCCTCCATCATGAACCGCATTGCTCGATCACTACCTGCAGCATTTAGCAACCGTCCCACACCTCAAGCCCTCTCATTATAGAAAAAAATACCTCGAGAAATGCCCAAAGACATTGATATGTACCAATCAGAGGCGGCTGTGATCACCATCGTGCTGTGGCCAGCGTGAGACACCAAAAAAACATGTGCTCCGAACCCTGTATCTGATTTGCTCGCTGAGGGGCACTCGACATTATCACCTGACAAGTGCTTCAAGCACAAGTCCCAATCCCTGGGCGCACGGCGGACGTACGGCGCAGCGACCGCCGCGAGCACATATCATCATATCATCCCCCCCTCCAACAGGGAGAACATGGCACTGTGATGGATGGAACATCCACAGGGCCTTCACAAAAGGAATGAGTGAATCAATGGGGATGCTCCACCGGTGGAGCTGTCTGTTGTTCTTCTCTGGTGCCTCGCACAGGTCTGTTCGGGGAAGCCATGAGGAAAAAGTAAACATCTTGGACCATGAGTCTTCGTGTTCTCCAGGTCTTGCACCTAAAGGGTCGTGCCCGCTAGCCGAACCCACCATGTCCCACTGGTGGGTCGATCTGCCACGTGCCATCCGTCCGGCGTTCGGTCCCGCGGCGCGTTGCGCGAGAAATCCGAGAAGACAAGTCTACATGTGGGCAGTCCTACTCGTCTTTCATGCCATTGTTCAAGTTTACTTCTCATGTCTTACATGATTTTTTGATGCTTATTTCTCATGTCTTGATGATGATTTATGGTTACTTGACGGTGATTGATGGTTGTATTTCCATGTGTGATATCCTAATATATATATATATATTTATTTATTTATATAGTCTCTTGGCGTAAGAATGTGCATGAAGTTGGGGCCCTTCTTCGGCAGAAGCTCATGAACCAATGAACCATCAGACACCCCGGGCGCGCCTGAAGCTGGTTCTGCACCAAGGGCAGGAGTAGGGGCTCAAAGCCTGGGCAAGCTGCCACTGGTTGCTGGAGAGGTTCACTATAGACTTCCAGCTTCACAAACCTAGCTGGCTAATGTTGCTCATTGCTCACAAGAACCTCAACAAAATGGACCTCAATGTGGGACCTGCGCCGGGACTGAACGAGAACGACTCGTCGGCCTGCGACCGGCCCATGGCGCAAAAAATGACCAACGGCCGAGGTGATGGGTGTGTGCGAGCGGCTGGGGGTGGAGACTTGGGCGGCCTTCCATTCCGGCATCTTAAATCGGCCTGATGTCAAACATGTAGCATGTGGATCAGATTTGAGATGACGTACTGAACCGTTGGCTGAGAAGATGACTGCACAATGGGTCTCTTGACCGGCTACTTGAAGGATTGGGCCAAAGAGGCGATCAGAGCTGGGCCAACAAGTAAAGCTGGCTTGCAAGAAGTCAATCCAACCCACTGGGCGTCCAATGTCCTGAAAAAGATCTGGTCTGGTCATGTCTGGTCTGCTCTTCAAGGAAGGTCTATCTCCACACAGCCACTCCTTGCGGAACCCGCCATGCAACTACCGGCACCGACCGCTGCCTCGGAAGACTTTGGCCACAAAGACGCCGCCTGGCAGCCAGGAATAGGCGCCGGTGGCATGGCTTCAACGACGTCCCCAAAAAGGAACGCTGGTGTTCTGTTCGTTCACTACCCGGTAGAGAGACCATCTTTGTCACTTAGCATATCTTAGAATATGTTAGATCAGATGATTCTATTTCACACCCCTGGTCTTTGTGTCTGTCCATGCCAACCTGAATTCGGTTTCACACCAGGCTCCCTGGAGGCCAGGGGCAGCTGCGCTGACCTTCTTTCAGTAGTTTCTCTGCCACAAACAGCTCCGAGAGCAACAGCTGATGCTGCACATACCTTTCCAGCTGAACAGGGACGCACACATAAAAAACATGCACTCACTTCTCTAGAACCGCTCCCTATCAATATCTGGCAGGAAAGGGATGAAACCTATTCCAATTTTTAAATTAGCAGATCAATGATGCTGCAACAAGGACTGGCGGATTTACATATTGTCGACATGTTACACAGAATGGGAAAGACACCCGTCATAACAGTGCATGGATGTTATACTGGATGTCATGTGAGCTACGGCCACAAAATTTGATCGAAAATCCCTGAGACTGGAGCACGGACTGACAACATGTTTTATATAATGTCTTTCACCCCATAGACCCACACTAAACCATCCATTTCGGGGGTTCTGCTCGTAGCTCCTGTTTCTCCGGTGGCACTCGTCGAAGTCGGACCGCCCAGTGGCATCGGGTGCACCGTCCTGAGTGGACCGTTGTCTGACGAACGTAGCAGGGTGGCTGAGGGTGGCTGGATCCAAAGGAATCTCTATTGGGGGCGAAACGTCCTTCCCTGCTGAACACCAGTCACACCTGGTGGCTTCTAAATTGGAATCTCTGAAAGTCAGAAGGTGAGGTAAGCAGGTGAGTTTGGCAGTCACCGACCATTTTGGCACTTAGTGTGGCCCAATTGTTGTGGGCTCCACATTGCTAGGAATTTAGAAGTCCATCTGCCTCGCATTCTTGACTTGGCTCCAAGGCCAACTGATACGAAATAGTAAAAGCATATCCATGAAGTGGATCAATGAACACAATCAGATCCCACGGGCGAGTCGCACACGGGCGGCTCTCCAAGAACGAACCGACTCTCTGGGAAAGTAGCTGCGTAGCTTTTGCAGGCTCGAAAGCCAACCAGAAATGGGTACCACTTTTATACCATGACAACCCAGCACCCTTCTGTCGTTCTTCCTCTGAAAGCCACTAGCTCTGAAAACCAATAGCCACACCAAGGCTCGCAAACCACCAAATCTGCTCGTTCACCTGACCAAAGGCGGTTGGGAGCGGTAACCAAAAAAGAGGATCTGCTCACCTGTGTGGTTGGGACCCTGCCTGCACGCGGGATTCCATGGGTGATGCCGAATTCAACTATAGATTGTTCCACTGCCGAAGTGCAACATGTTGCAACAATGCAGGCGGGTTCAAGGCTTCACACATACTATCACGCACGGACTCTGTAGCTGATGTCATGCGCAACATGACCAAACTGCTTGGACATGCTTGGACCAGACTGGTGAAAAGACCGGGAGAGAAAAACAAAGAACGAGAAGGCTGACCCCCCCAAAAAAGGTATAAACCATTATAAACCGGGTGCTGGAATACCGGGCCAATACCGGGTATAAAATAGGGTGTTCGCGCTCCGAACCCGGACGGCGGACTTTCTCCGATGGCGAGGTCCGCCGGAGCCGGCCGTATCGTCGCCCGCTCTGTGACGTCGGTGGCGGCATGGCCGCTACTATAGTAGTAATGGCCTCCAAGCAGCCGCCATGGGCTCCAAGCTAGCTTCGCTCGCTACTAGTAGCTAATGCCTTTGTGACTCGTAGCGATGCGCTTGAGAAGCTAGTCGCGATGCACCTTCAAAATGCTGAAGGACCTGCTGCACGGTGGACTCGTGGGTGATATCGCCTCGGGACGACGGTGAGGCCCGAGGCGAATGCCGGACGACTCGCCGCCCATCGGTGGCATCGAAAGGAACGGTCCGACACTTGCTGGGACGAATGCTTTAGATGTTGGGCCCTCACGGCGGTTTTTTCGATTCAGGTGAGACTCGGTGAGAATATTTGACTGAAGTCTTGCATACTGTAAGCTCTCTCTCTCTCTCTCTCCTACCTCAAACTTGCCTCATTTGCCCAACACCGGCCATTGAAATCACTTGGCGTGGCCTTGTACTTGAACAACGCCTGCAATCCTAGGAAACGGGAGGAAAGCCAACGCTGTGAGACATAATGATTGAACCCCCTCCCCGCAGCTTGTCCGAGAAAAGCCCCCACAGCCATAGCGCTACCTAATAACGTGAATGATGGACACATCTCTTTGCAATTCTTCGCATATGAACCACAGCCAATTGCCTCAAACCCAGGCAACCAACACAGATGGCTTCAGCCTGCCGAGTCCACCAGGTGCACCACCGTCGTTTGTACGTGGATGGCCAGACCAACGGGGCCCGCAACGGCCAACCGCGGACCATGAGACGAAGACAAGCCTCCCGGTGAGCCTTGGAGGGGAGTGCATACAAGTGAGGATCCTCCAGAGGTTTGAAACTTGGAGCTGGCCATACCCAACATGGACAGTCGAACCATGACGAACCTGCGGCGCCCAGCGCGGTGGGTGAAGCGGGTGAACTCTGTGGATCTTGCGCTGCGGTCCTCCCCGGTCCCGTCGATCGCCAGGTCACGGTTGCATTTCCTGGGCGTGATCGACGGCGGCGACGGAGGGGTCCGGTGACCCTCAAAGCCGAAAGCATCACACGACCAGGGGGTTGAGTCCTTGGAGTCTTTTCTCAAGGGAGCACGCTTCCTATTTCTGTATAAAGTGCATGTAAGTATCATATCTGCAATTGTTGATTCGTTCATGTATCCATTTATTGTATATTGGGGGTCATTATACTTGATCCGAGACATGTTCGAGGTGCAAAAATCTACCCAAATCCTGCAAAGGTAATTACTTTTCTTGTGATACAAAGTGACTTCATAGAAGCTCTCAGGCCATCAAGTTTTGATCTACACTGAATCTACATATATCTACATTCTGAAAAAGGTAGGCTGAAACCTTCGTGGACTCGACATTTACTCCAAGGAAGAAAGGGCTGGGTGTTGTTTCCACTTCAGTGATCGATCAAACAAACAAGCAACACAACAAGCTCACCTTGGGGTTAAAACCAATTGACAACTGACAATTGAGGTCGCAATAATCCTTCTTGGGGGTCCAAAAAATAACCATAATGAAAAATACCTTCCACCTATCTCAACGAATTAAAGCCATTAGGAGTATCAAGCGCTGCGGTGCGGTGTGGTTGGCTTTCAGCCGGTCTAGCACCATATTTAGCATGGAAGCTCGACCAATGAGGGACGTATTTGCTCGAGCATTGGCTGACTGAGGCGATATATGGTAGGCTCAGAAACCATGATCGCCCCACAAGCGAGCGCAGAAAAAAAAAAAAAAAGGAAAAAACACCAAGGGAGCGCCATGACCAACAAATCCACTCACCATGACAGGCCCATGCCGTCCAATCCTTTCTGCTTTAGCTCCAGCCGACTTACTCATCTTGCCGCCCAAGTCCGCCCCCCCGGCCGGAGTAGTCTTTGGTTGATGGGTCCACACCAGCCTCGCCGTCGTCCGACAGCCATGAGTCATACTTGTCCACTGCCACGATCCGAGGCGGCGGACGCTCGTCCGAGACCAGGCGCAAGGCCAGCACCTGCGGACGAGACGCATGGCCAGGTGCAGCTGAGACGGTGGGCAGATCGGAGAACTAAGGGCTTGAGACTAGAGATCTGTTGGTTCCTCTGAACACATCGGACCACTTCTTTGGACACGCATTCATGGTTCTGATCCCCACATTGTCCCACCTGGCTCCATCCCCCAGGTGCAGCACAAAGATCCGCCACGTTGCGGACCTCAAAGCTCATCACGTCACTTGACCGCCGAGCGGTTCTGCGCACCAAACACGAGCAGAGCACGAGTGCAGCGCCCAACAGCCAAAGTGTTGAGAGCCCCGAGAGTGCCAGGAGTCAACAGGTTACTTCTGGTGAAGACCAAAGCCATGCCGCGCGAAACAGAACAGAACTTGTGGAACAGTGGTGTTCTTCTCAGATCAGAGGTCAAGATCCAAAGCACAGAGAATTCCATCCAACATGGGTTCCTCACATGCTCTGTTTGAGTCAGAGTGACTGTATTCCAAATCAGCTCAGGTGCTGTTTTGTCTTCGAGGAGCTTCAACTCGTCATCAATCCTGAGATCTCAGCAAGTGGGTGGATTGGCTCATCCTGCTGGGCCCACTTGGTTCTTTGACTGATCTCTGGCACCCTACAACAAGGGATCAAGGCACGATCATCCACTCTCAATGTGGGAATGATGAGATCAAGGGCAAGCTATAGATATCGGCTTTATGAGTTTGAACACGCTGCGGACCGGTCAGACAAGGAACTGCAAGAGTTTGAAGGCAGATCGAGCTCGAAAGCCCTCCTTCTTGGCCTCCCGGTAGTAGATGTCCCGCTTATCCTAGACGTCGTAGGAGGAGGAGCAGCTTCGGGGATGTATATTGTATAAAACATATAACTATATACCAGCACCTTCCAACAGGTCTCCGAAATGGAGGGTTGTTAGGCCCTAACAGGTTTCAATTGGTGACCTGTTGGAGGTGCTGGTAGATGAAATTTGATCTTTCTTCCAGTTGCGGCATGTCACGGGTCGCTCCCCGTCTATCTGCTGGGCTTGCGAATAGCGAATCATCCTGACCTGAAATTCTGTGTGGTGTGGTTCAGTGCTACAACAAACGTCCAGACGCTCAACAAAGCTCAACAAATCTTCAAAAAGGTCCTTGAATGGTCTGAGATTGGCATAATGTTGGATGCTGATTAGTAAATGGGTCCTCAAAAATGCTAATTTTTTCCAAAATTTTTCCAGACCCCATGTTTGAAAAATGGGTCCTGAATAATGCTAATTTTGGGGGGACCCTAATTTTGTTATATTGGAAACCTAATTAATTAATAAGGGTTTGAATTCTCTTGAGCTGAAGATCTGAGGCTGCAAAGCAAAAGGATTGCTGAGAACAGTTACAAAGCACCTGAGAAAGGAAACTGAATACTACAATCAATTACAAAAGGAATCCTCACAGGAATCCAGATTTGTTTTGGTGGTAATTCATTATAGAGGGTCGCCTATTTGTTTGAGGGAGGGGGGGGACCCCCCTTTACTAATCAGGATCCAACATTAAGATGTTGATACCTTTGGGTCAATCCCATTACCAGTAACAGTGGATGTGTTCCGCTTTTGTTTAAATTTAAGATAGTGATTTGCCTGTTTACCGACGGTTACCGCTAAGAAGACCATAAATTAATATCATTAATTCAATTGATGCTGTGATCTCACCAGCTTCGCCGGTCAGCCGTGAATGCCTTCGACGGACGAGTGCGGGCCGGTCCTTCGACAAGCGCCCCATGGAGACCACGACGAGTCCAGCGCCCCGCGGGCCATGTGAGGCTCCGCGGGCGGAGAAAGCACCCAGTCGACGCGCCCGACACTCCCGCCGAAGGAGAAGAGGTGGAACGGTCCGGTCCCTGAAAAGGTTGCAGGAAGTGATGACCTGAACGAAGAGGACTTGTTTTTACGGTCCGGTTGAAGCCTCTTGAAAGCGGACCCTGGGAACAAACGAGAACTTTTGGGGCATCAGCTGAGGAAAACCATCCATGACGTGTGCTGAGTCTCAAGCAACTTCTGGAGCTCAATTCAGCTGCGGCCAAGGTCAACACACTCATATATGCTTTGAAAGCTTCATGGAGCCTAGCCTTTTGGATCCTTTGCCCACGTGGACCTCTGCGCAGAAGTGGCACATACATGAGACATGAGAGTCAATGAAGTGCACAGCTGTAGTGGGCCATGCTACATGAGCGGCGTGGAGTGTGCACACCAAAATGCACCCAGGTGGTTGAGATGGCTACGTTGTGAACCAAGAGCCCATGCGCATGCACAAATGGATTCTCAATCAGACTTTCAAGCGAAGCCTATCCCAGAACACAACCCTTCATTCCCCTCACAATTTTAAAAGAAACATCTGGAACATGCAGATTCAACGTCACATTTGGCATGATATGATATTATTGGATGCTAACCCCCTGCCCACACACCCGACTGTGTCCAAATTTTGGATTTAAACCAAGGCATCGGCCCGCTTCCCGCTTCAGGGTCGGCCCTAAGGGCCGACGCGCAGGATCCATCACCCCGTCAAGGGCGGCACTGCTTCTTCGGCGCCATCCGCTCCTCGCTTCACAATGGGCGTCTCCTGTGGTGCCGAGACTGAGATCGTGCCACGGTCAAAGTCGGTGCCGACTCACGGCAAGCAACGCAAAGCACTGGCAGTTCTGGAAACAAACCGCTTGTATATATATATATATGTGTGTGTGTGTGTTATACTGTGCTTGGGCTGGAACACCCAACATTAATACATCTATCCCAGACGCTCCAAACAGCCCTTGGTCCCTCAAAACCATAAGGGATTGGTTCGGGTCCAGACCCCTCCAGAGGATTCGGGTCCGACCCCTGCAAAGGATTCGGGTCCAGCATCTGGGATACGCATATGTAGCCCTTAGTGTAGCCCTTATGTTCACGTCCAGTGGTGTTCTTTTCTTCATGCAAGACCGTGGATCCGATCCCAGGGGTGTCCTGATCGGCGCCCCACTCGCACCAGGAGGCATCATAGACCGACCAGCGCGAGAGGGGCATGCCCAGCTGGTGTAGACCTGGCTTGCTGAGAAATCGGGCCCTGGAGAAAAGACCAGGCAAAGAACCCGACATGCGCGTGAGTTCTTAGAACTTGGATAGTCCGATTGCCCTGCATTTCGTGTCATGGATCCTTTTGATGATTCTGAGGTGACCCATGCACAAACATCAAGTGAGGTAGACCCACAGGACGGCATCGAGCCACCAAAAGGCATTTTTCGGACCATTTCAAGCACCAGTCGTCGCCAAGCACAAGCACCTCCCCCCCGTAGAAGTCTTCCTGTGCATCGACTATAATACTCGCGTGAAGACGCGACCTCCCCAAAAAAGATCCAAAAAGGCAGACGACTCCCTGAAATAATCATGTAATCATAGAAGTTGAAAAACCACCTGTTTGTAGAGGAAAATGGTCATCCAAGGTGCCATTGTCCACATTGGGCCACTAGAGTGGCCACTAGTTGCACTATGTTGCAATGAGTCAGTTTGGACCATCACTCATCCATGGGGGCTCTTTTAGGTGCTCACCAGACCCTGCCAATGTCAGAAGCAGCTGCTTCATTCACGGCAGGCGGCCCAGGCCAAGAATGCATGCGGTCATCCCTGAACCACAGGAGGTCAGGATCCTGGAACCCGTCGGCACGTGGCTGGAGGGCCGCAAAAGGGTGGGCATCGACCGATCGTGGTTTGGGGTCCTCCAAGTACAATGGTTTCAAAGTTGAGTAGATGGCACAATCCACAAGTTTGGTGGTTTATACATATACATACCTTGACTCTGAAAGGACATCTTGATCGTCTGCTTCCTCTGAATCCGTTTCCGAAGCAACCGCCGTTTCGACCGGCCTTTTGCTTGTTTCGACCAGCCAAGTCTGCAGGAGCGCGACCGCCACCTTCTTGCGAAGCATCGTAAACCACTCTGAATCTTGAACAGCAGTTTGGTAGTGGTCGAGGCGTGTTGGTCTTTCACGGGATCCCGTTACACCGCCTACCTGGCTATTGATCACGTGCTGGCTTCCCTGTGGAAGGATAGTCCGACAGCTCAACCTTCCCGAGGGCGCATCAGCTCCTGGGGCCGATATCGCCCCTGAGGTGCTCCAGTTTGATGCCAGCGCCCTCCACCACCAGCTGCAAATCCTTCTGATTCAGCATGTACCTCAGGGCAGAGGCAAGAAGTGTGGGAGCGCAAAGAGAAGGAGCACCTGCACCTCCAAAAGCCGATGGAAAGGTGGATGGAACTTGGAGCGGACCCATGTTCTTCAACCCTGGCAGCCAAAAAGAACATGGGATTGATGACTCAGAGCCACTATGAGCAACTCTCCTACCGTGATTGTTTGGAGTTTTGTTTACGCCCATCACGCCCAAAACAAGTCTCCCTGACTGACCTGGGATCATCTGGATTCACAACCGATACCTCCAAATGGCAACAATTCATGACGCATGATCACTTGATGGACCCAACCATGACCATCAGCTCATCACTCCAGATCCACCCATTCCTCCACATGTCTCGGAAAAGATCCGAGGCGCGGCAGCTTCAGCAAGGCCACTGCCTCCAGGGACACACTTCCTGGAACGTGCCCCCACCGCAGCTTGGGCCGTGGCTCCGGTTGCTCCCCGTGGAAACGTCCAACCGGGCGGGCGTCCAGGTGCAATGCCTGCTTGGAGTGAATGTTCGCCTGAGGTGGAGCCATGGAAGGAGCTATGGAGTCCCCAAAATAGAGGATGCAAGTGGAGATCTTGGCCGGGGCATCGAAGGGCTTTGTAGTGATGGGTGATGGATGGGGCAACCATTGAAAGACCCACGCGCTCTCCCTGTCTCTGTCTCTCTCTCTCTCGCCCTCTCTCTCTCGCTAGTGTTTGTGTCTGGGTCTGTTTCGTTCGCGGATGATCAGGAATGTGCCTTTTTCGGCAGGTGCGTTCAAGTGGCTGAAAACAGACAGGTGGATATATAAAGACACATCTCATCAGACATTTGATGTTCAATACACAACACCACCCCCCCAAAAGAACTACAAAATCCAAAAAGGGTCAGAACCCCAACCCACCTGGCCAGGCCCTCTTTTGAAAAGAGAATGGCAGCTGGGTCCTGGGTGACACCAACCCCGGTCATTTTTCACCAGTGAAGGACATAGACTCCCCACAATGTACCACCGACAAAGCTCACAGCTCACATAGAAACTCTTACCTGCACACCCATCTTCCAAAATGACGCCTGGCAGGTTCTTTGCTGGTGCAATAACAACATCAACCACCTCTTGATGGCTCAGATGTCTTTTCACGGCCCACCAGCTCATGACGAGACATGTTTTTTCCCCAAACAGTGTGGACACACTAGGGGTTCTTACCTCGCTGCTACACCTCTAGACCTCACACAGACTGTTTGGGGTCTCTTGCCGGGAGAATTCGGGGTTCTTCTTGTAACCTGGACGTGGTCTTTCAGACGTTTGGCTGAGTTCCTCAGGACCGCTCGTGCCCATCTGCGACCGGCCATCGTCGGTTTCCGTCGCCCATCGAGGTGCCAAAACCTGCGACTTGTCCCAAACGGCTTCCGGCACCTTACCTGGCGAGACAGCGTCACGTCACTGAAGGAAGGGTCTCGGCGGGACTGGGTCCAACCAACCAAGGGATTCAAGGGTATAATTATGAATTGATCTCCCGTTTCCCTGCCTCACAGGTGACCAACAGGCAATTCCTGCAAACATGCCAGACTCCAAACACCTTCAACCTAATCTTGCATTGTCCATCAGTAAATCACGTAGGCGGGCACCCGGCCATGCGCAAAAGTTCTTCCTTCAGCACTAGCTGCCAACATTTCAGAAAAATGTAGCACGGGGCATCTCTGGTGAGTGAATATGCAAATTATAGCTTAGCACTATTGGAATGTTGCTACTAGTAGCTTGGATCCCTGATGGATTTTGGGCACCTTTTGAATCAATCACCCTAAACCCGTTGATAGGCATCTTGGGCGTTGTTGAACCTTCTTTCATGTGCGTTGTGGATACACTCCCCGGAACTAAGATGGAAGTGGAGAATGGCCCCGAAAGGAAGACCATGAAATCCACTACAAACAGGTGGCATTCCACTTCCATGTTAGTTCCAGTGGGAGTCGGGTAAGTTCCAGTGGGAGTCGGGGACCGTTTGAACACTTTGCCTTCACCACCTCCGAGCCCAGCGGCTCCAGCGACACATCTTCGCCGGGGCGGAGGGCTCCGGCAGCCCCTCCTCCAAGGGATAACCTCCGGGCGGCGGCAGCGGCCGCTGACCCTCACCGTGACGTGGTAACGTGTGGGCGCCAAGTTGATGAATCCTTTGAAATCACGTATCTACAAAAATCCCCACCCATGCAATGTGTGTTCTTCATCTTTCGCCTTACTGGTGCCATCCTCACAGGGACCTTCACCCCCCTTAACCTCTAAGAATCGACCGGCCTAGCTCCTTCCAGCGGGGCAGGCCACCATCCAGAACGGCCACCTCTGCGGGGTGCCCAAAGGCCACCTTCAAGGTGTACCTCACCGAGATCGGAAGCTCTGCGAAGACGGTGCTCCCCCCAGGTGTTTGCTTCGTACTTGTGACCCATCCACGAGAGATCACTTGGATGGCACCAATGGAGCCAGGTGCAAATGGTCAAAATCCAGACATATCCAGACTACTACCCGGTACTACCCTTCTCTGCCAAAATTTTATGTGTGCCTCATTGGGGTCAGTCAGTGTCCCGCCATGTTGCCCCGTGTTGGACACGCTGGCTCACGCTGCGTCGCTGTCAGACCTGTCAGCTGCCCCATCTTTTCCTGCTTCCCCCCGGGTGAAAGTCAGCTGCAACACCTAAGCAACACACAAACTCCTCCGGTACGTCGCTGCGATGTCGGCCCGCCCACGGACGACGCGCACCCCGCACCCCCCCTTTTCGCGCGGCCCCGACCAGAAGCGGGGCGAGGAGAAGACACCCAATCGGTCGTAGGCCACGACGCGGGTGCCTTGGGATGCTTCATGTATCGGGCTCATCATGATACGTGTATGTATATATATATATACATACACTATATTATATATATGGCCCTATATATGTGTATATATATATATATGTGTGTGTGTAAATTGATCACTGATACTGTAATCACATTCTTGAATCTCAAGCTTCCTCTTGGATTGGTGGATTGTGGCATGTCAACGTTTTTTCAACTCCGCAAATTCTGGAAACACCATCTCTACCTTAGGCCCACTTGCAGCCCCGTCTATCTGTTCGTCGCGCCTGGCTCGATGCCCAAGGCGGCCATGGCTGCGGCAAAGGTCTCCTCGTCCGGAAGCATGTGAGGCAAACCTGCCGACCAGAAGCGGCGGTGTGGCACCTTTTCCACCTCAAATCGATCAATTTGCTTGGTCATCCTCTAGTCATTGCAACCTTGCTTGAGGTTGCCCAAAGTGCTGTTTGCGACCATGTTTGCAGAATTTGGAAGCTGGTGTTTGGATTGTCTGGACGCCATATTTGTGAGGATGTTGGGCATATGTAAGTAAATATCGAAGAACCAAAAAACGCACAGAAGCTGGTTGGTTGGGAGTGGTTGGGAGGGTTTCCCATTTTCGGACAAGAAACTGATGAGACCCACCAAGTTCCACGCCCAGCTGCGAGTCATGTCGCCCAAACCTTTATCCCAATCAGCCGTTGGATGCTTCGTCTAGCAGCACATGCTCATCCATGCTTATACTGGCATTTCCTGTTACAATGGTCTGGGGTGCTTGGCTTCAACATGTGTCAACTCACACACCATGTGCTCCATCCACTTTTCTGATGCTCTGGCTCCAACCGCCAGAGGGGCCGTGCGATCTGTCGAATCAAAGGCACCAGCGACGCCGCAACTAACTGTACACTGTACATGACTTGGCGACCCCAAACATCTGGCGCATCAGCAAAGCATGACTGGGGCACTCTCCCACTCTCTCTCTCTCTCTCTCTGCCAGCCTTGCACCGACTGCATGCCGAAAAGATTTGAAAGAGTTCAAGCTAGCTCGGCTCATAACAACACCATCATCCCTTGCCGCTCAACCATCGAGACCCTCTGGGCCTCCGCTTCCTTGCGGCGGTCCGCATCAGGAAGGCTGCAGGGGTTGATGCTCGAGCGCCCACCTGCGCTGGGACCCCATACTTCATCAATCCCTCAGATCCCTATAGAATACAATAATGAAGGCAGGACCATTTAGAATTTCGATTCATATAAATCTATATAGAGAGAGAGAGAGTTCAAACATGTTCAAACTGACAATGCTTACTGAAGAGGTTCTTCATTTCAGCACCCCGCCGTGTTGGTCCTTGGACCCTGATGTCTCCTCGCGGGCATGTGCACCACTGCAGCTTGTCCGGGCATGATCCCAAGCGCTCGTGCCATTGGCTGCGAAGACGGCACGGCGACGAAGAGCGGCGCCACACGACGCTCATCAAAGACGACCACAGCGTCACCCGCATGGCGCACGGTTTGGGCATCGTGATTATCCTTGGGGCATCGTGATTAGCCAAAGGTTGGCTCCCTAAGATCTGTAAGCGAAAGCACCCTGATGATTTACTGGGGAGACCTGGGGACTATGACCGGAACTGTCCTACGACTCAAGTCGTTTGGTAAAGTACATGGGCGGGTGCAAGACTGCGCAAAGCACCTCCGGTCCGCTTGAGGTTGTGGGGGCGACGAGCGATGAAGCACCTTCTTCAATCATCGCATCCGATGGGTGGCCAGAGACCATGATTAGTTTGCGGTGACGCGATACCCGCATTAATCTCTGGTAGGCTAAGGTAAGCGAATGGTAAAATCAGAAAGTCTTGGCTCTTGTGGATCTACCTCGGACTCGCACTATCCACGTCCCTGGGTAGAAACTTTGTGGACCTTATGGGCATGGTTGGCAGGGTGCTTCACATGCAAAAAAATGACTGTTGACGGCCAAAGGCTCCAACACTCCGCAAACCAGAAGCCCAGTCCATCCAGAGCTGTAGTTCATGGACAGCCAAGGGTTCCCAACCCGGGCGGTGTAAATGCCAACCCCGTAGGCACTGCCATGAAGCACCTTCACGTTGTTCTTGCCACCCGGCACCACCAAGCCGTTCTGGTAAATTGATGACAGGCTGCCTTGGGTGCAGCACCACAGCGAAGCTGGAGTTGGCTACTTCTCTTGCCGGGGTGTGTGTTGATGGCTGTATACAACAAAAAGGGATGGTAAAGGCACAAAAGAAAGGTGATTACTAAGCAAGTTGCAGGCCCTTGTCCCATGGAATGTTGGAATCAGATCTCCGTCCAATCCGCAGCAGGAGGAATAGAATGTCTTTTGCACTGGTGTATTCAGAGGGGTCGGCCATAAAGACACCTCTCCCAAGGCTTTTTGAAGCATGGGGCAAAAGCTTGGCCCATGCTTGGTCAGGAACTCACGACCTGAGTCAGTGGGCAGAATCTGCCAGAATGGGCGAGCGGCGTGAAGCAAAACCTTCCCAAAAAAATGAGACCTTCGGCTGTGGGCCGTCAGCTACATGCGCCAAGAGATCCCTACGGCCACACCGGAACTGCCACCAGCGAGTGACTGTCATGCATCCTTGTTCTTGCCTTTTCGTTGTTGCTGGGCGACTATTGAAGGGAATTTGGAAGGAATGGAAATCACCCAAACAGAAGTAATTATTATATGAAGTATCTGTTTTGCGGTCTCAGCTTCCCACGCAAAAGCTCGAAGCTGGGACTTGCACGGTGGCTCTTCCACTGGACCTGAGGTAGGGCCAAGGATGGGAGAGCTCCATGCTCTGCTCTACTTCGTGGATCTTAGTTGCGGCTGGCACTTCAGCAGAACCTCCAACAACTTGACCGTGCTCAATCTCTTCAAACGTTCACGCGCCCTCTCACATCTCATCGCGCCATGTCTCTCTGGTTCGCCCATCAATGCCAACACCTCGCGCCAGCCTCCCCTTTCACCGCGCTCCCATCGCACCTTGGTCTGGAACTCCTTGAGCAACTTCTCGATGGACTCTTTCGTGGCATGCGGCTCGGCGGACGTGGCCACAGGACAACGCCGGCTCGGCACAAGGTCCACCGCTGCGTACCGGCGCGCGGAGCGCTCGGCGCGGAGGAGCGCGAGCTCCCAGCGTGTCAGTGGAGCAAGGGGAGTGTATGAGTCCTAGAGGACAGAGATGTCAGAAAAATGCCAGTGCCCTCCAAACAAGTAGACAACCTTGTGTTTTTGTTGTTTTGTTGGAGGGAGGGTGTGCAAAAAATCTGATGCGTCCTGAAGAGCTGTCATCTATTCTATGATGTTCTGCATGCCTTAGTCTTGCACTTGTTCGTCTTTTACCACACCGAACTCGGGACATGACCCGTCGGCCCGTCCCATCCGAGGGTGATCGTCCTAAACGAAGCGCGCGCGACACACGCCCGAAGAACCGAACCGCCAGTGCGCTCCTCTCTGGGCGTTGCGCGCGTGGATGCCAGCGACAGGCGATCGATCTCGGACTCTTTGGAGCCCTCGGGGCACTTCATCCAAGCTCCACCCTCGGCAAAGCTCACATGGAGAGCCTGCAAGCGACCGAATTTGACAACTCTACGGCTGCATGTTGCTATATACTAATATGAGTGTGGCCACTGGGTGTATACAAAACAGGGGTGGTTTTTGATTGGTTTTTCTTTCCGCTACCTCAACGACACCGATCAGACTGAGGCTGCGGACTGAGGCTTCGGATTGAGGAATCTGGTCCTCTTCAAAGAGCTCGAAGTCTGCTTCTTCATCAGGTTGACTGAAAACTTCCATCAGTTCAATTCCTCTCTGAAAGCACGTGGAGAACACCAGTGCAACCAAAAGGCCACTTCAACTCGCATCATCCCCACTTGGCACCGTATTCTTTGAGTGCAATGTGTGTCGGGGCCATGTCCCCATACACTGAATTGATGCCAATCTACCCAAATTCTGGTTCCCTTGAAATTGCACCTCTCCAAAGCAAAAACGACGCCAAAAGTGCTAACTCTCTTCACTTCAGAGCTTCGGATCTCTCGATGACGCCGCATGGCACCCCGTGCCCGGTCTTGTCGTGGTGTGTGTCTTCGCCGCGACGCAGTGGAACTGCGCTTCCAGGCGCTGCGACCACGGAGAACCTCCAGGCCTTGTCCTTGCCAACTGGCCTGGGCGGTCGAAGAAACGTCGAACGATGGGTTCCCACATTGGAAAAAAAATACGCGGAGGAACCGCTGAGGAACTGCCATCCAAGGTGCAATGCGCATGCCACAAGACACAATAATGAATAAAAATATTAAAGTAATACAGTATATACCCTGGGCTTCCAACCACCGTTAATTTATATAATGGGCTACGGATTTGACAGTACAAAACCAGGTCAACCATTTTTCTTCATGGTCCTGGAAGTCTAGATATGTAAATATAGCCGTGTCACCCTCAGCGCTGCCTTGCCCCTCTTTGGCACATTCAAGCGCTTCCTCGTGCCATGACGTGCAGGGAATTGGTCGCTGCGCGTGGGCGGGGGCATCTCCTCAAACCCCTCGCCATCCGATGCCAAACACATCGATCCCCGTCTTTGGAACTGGACTCGGGCGACTGGGCCAAAACTGCAAGGCCCAGGGCAGAAGGGATTGGTGAAGAACCTGGAGGCGGACCTCATACCATCGCCTGCAGTGACAACCAAACAAAACCGCGAGGACTCCCTGGATGATGTCGATGACTTGTTAAAACCTGCAGTAACCTGCACACCTGTAAAGCATGTTTCAGACATTGTTCATAACATTGTATGTGTGTTGTCTACAATGGTTTTTGGATGTTTTTGGTTATGCAAATCAACTTTCCACGCAGCTCCGCTGGGCCTCGGCATCATCCTGCAGATAGAATATCATCATACAAGACTGGATGTTCCAAAACTGTTCCCATCTTCCTCGCTTCATCTTTGTTTCCTTTTTTCGATCTTCTGATCATGTTGAATCCAATTCACTTCCAACTCTTCCACGTCCTCGGCTCATCGACACTCCGTCCGCCGGACATGCCGTCCCACTGGTGTCACCTGTGTCGGCTGCGGCGACCCCATCGATGTCGAAGAAGCCGGCACCCGGCAGCCGGGGGCCCTTCATGAAATCGCCCTGCGCGGCAACGGTCGTTGAACGGTTTTGGCGCCCTTGAATCGATGCGGGGGTTACGGTTTTTCGACACACCCGTTGTCCCTGACAGGGGGGTCACTCCAGTGGTTTTCTATATGGTTATTATGTCATTATACTTTAAAACTTTATAGTGTTTTATCTTCTGAGGTTCTTCACAACGCCAGGTGGAGGCTTCCTTTACTCCAAAATAGGCCCGCTCAGCGTACTAACAAACATGCCATCAACTTGTAGCCAAAGCATGTTGCTCCAAAACACGGCAAGAACATCAACAACACAAGATTGCCATGGATTATATTTAAAAAAAGTGACGTGACGCAATGCCTGAAATGACAATGATGCGTGACTCGACCACACAAAGAAACACAAACATTACACGCCTCCTGGACCCAAATGAATGTTTTTGAGTGGACATGAGGATGTCCTCTCCAGCAGCTTCAGTTGTACAAGGACTGATGCCATTTCCCGTCCTGCCGCTTAACTGGCCGTCCCGTTCCTCCCGTTCCGCGCGCCGCGTTCGGCCGGTGCAGGCCGCGCCTGGGGCCCCTCGGAGCCCTCCGGCGGGCCGAAGACGGTCTTCGGCATATACCTCGCGCGGGACCCCGCGCGGGACCGGCGTCGGTCCCGACCGGGGCAGCGTCACAGGGGTCCCGAGCCCAACCAGACACTCTACAACCACGACGTTGACCGGCCCATCTCTTCCCTGCCGGGTCAAGAAATGACCAGTTCTTGATGAATGTCCGGTCTTCGCAGACCAAAGTCTCACGAGCGCACCATGTGGCTTCTACCAGCTTCAGCGGTCCACTGGGCGCATCCAGTTCAGCTTTGAGCCATTCCTCAGCTGGGAGATGCTGGGAGGACGTGGGAAAGCCTCGATGGATGAAAAAGGCTCAAGAGGCGTGGGAGAGATCACTCAGCGCCAAAACCACAGCCCTTCCGGCGTAAACATATGGAACCACCTCGGCTCAGCTCAGCGGCGCAGCTCACCAGTCCTGTCTCCATCCCCGGTCCTCAGTGAGTCAACGAGCCGTTCGAGCCGAGCGACGAGCCGTTCTTTCGCATGTTAGGCCAACGACAAGAGGTGTCTATGGGTGTCTCGACTGGAAACTTATGTAGCCTACTGCCAAGTATATTAATGTGCTTATATAAGATATTGTGTGTAATATATACATATATACATAATGTATGTGTCGAATACACATGTTACTTATAGACGATATTATATATGATATGTCAAAACAAGTCTTCAATATCTTCAATGGTCTTCACTAGAACCTGAGCTGATTCTGAACACAACGCCTGGCAAAAGCTCCTTTCAACACTCGCAGACGCTCGCAGAATACGGCCAAGGAGCGTGGCATCCTACTCATGGCACGAACCTGAATTCGGACTCGGGAGGCCAACGAGCCAATGGCAGGTGCACCTGTTGTTTGACATCACTTGTTGACGCAAAGAACATCTGTTGCAGTCTGTTGCCCTGTGTTCATGCAAAAGTTCCACTCAAACTTCACCTGGTGATGGCACAGTGCCCAAAACAACTACTAATGATACTAATGGTTTCATTTGGGTTTGCCTGTCGATTCTATACTGCTGGGGCAGCATCTTCACACGCTTGACTGGCGCCCGATGCCTCGTGCTGTCGTGCTGCTCTTGCGGCCACCGCCGCGGTCGCAGCTGTCAGCGCTCGACGTCCGCAACTCCGGAAGCCGGCTGGGCCAGGCTGGCGCAGGGCGAGGCTGGGCCAGAGGCATCACTGAAAGTGAGAGAATGAATGAATGAATGAATAAGAAAAAATAAATAAAAACAATCAACAAGTACAATCTTCTGTTGAGTTACTAACAGCGATGGCCTCCACCCTACTAGCGACTAGCAAGGAGAAACATGATCAAACATGATCAACAGGGTTTTGGAGTGGCTAGTGTCCTCAGATGAATTCTTGCACAATGCATCTGAAAAAAGGAGTGAAGAAGCTCAGTCCGCAAGGTCCCTGCTCGCCCGCATCGAAGGAATGTTCAGAGGTTCTGGGGGTGGTTGCAAGAGGGATGAAAATCCGACTGACTACTGAGCAGTCGATCGACTCCTTGTTGCAACTACCCTGAGAGGGGCATTCTTGCATGTCACAGCTCAGTGATTGATCACGCATGCGCAGGCATCACGCACCCCCTTTTCACACAGATACTGACCCCTTGCGGGGCTCATGTCTGCGCTGCGCCCATCGGACGCGCAAACCGCACGGTTGCTCGCCTGTCCGATCGACCGTGGAGGCCTCAAGGTCAGCAGCCTCAGTGAGGCTATGACCGACCGAAGGGAGTGAGGCTATGACCGAACAACTGGTGAACGAACGGAAGGGTATCAAAACCCTTGGTCTTGCTTGGGCATCGGTTCGTGCATCTTGACCGTCTCTCTGCCACATTTGGCGTTGGGTGTCAATTGTCATATCAGCTGGTTGAGAAGGCACAACCTGCAGCCCCAGCAGCCTGCAGCCTGCAGCCTGCAGCCTGTCCAAAACATCCCCCAAAACTTCGGCGATATGGAGGGAAGCCCCAAAAGCACGGAGTGTTTCGCCAACTTGAATGGATGGGTCGAGTCCGGAGTCGAGGCTGTGATGATCCTCCAACCTGGGGCCTCCAGCCGCGGCGCGCACCAAGCCCGACAGAGCATGGTTGGAGCCGGGTGCAGCTTGAGATGTGGCACAAAGGCGGACGATGCGGCCCCTCCCAGATAGGTTTGGATGTCTGAGATTTTATCATGTACTGCACGTCCCACCAAGAACCAGTTCTTGACTCAGGGCACCCGGAAAAGGGGATTCAACGGCGAGAATCCGGTTCCAGAGAAACCCAAAGTCGAAGCACTTGAGTCACTGAGAATTAGAATCAAGCACGCCTGAGCCTCTGCATATGTGTGTTTGTTGAACCAAGATGAACGAAGTAAGTTCCATGGATTTCCCACCTCACAACCGTCTTCATGAGCTCAATCTTGTTGTATAGTATAGTGTGTCTGTGAGGGTGAGGGTGGCAGGGTGCCTGGCACCACTCGTTTCATTCGCACTGGCCTCTGCACGTGTTGTCACGTCCCATGTTTGTCAACCAACTCTGGGAAGTTTGTAGACTGTGTGCTGTGTAGGTGATGCCCAGCCCCTTTTTGTTTTCAGGGTACCTCCTGTCCCACTCCAGTTTCAGATTGCTCTACCTCTACCTTGGATTGTGGAGAAAAAACTCCGAAAGCTGTGGAGCCCATAGATTGGCCCTTAGTAACTCTGTAAGCTGTAAGGTGGGTTGGCAGTGCACAGCCGCTCCTCAATCTCATGTGTCACTGGCTTGGCTGTCAGGAAAGGCTCAGATTAGGCCAGTTTGACTTGCGCTCACGCGCGGAGATCTCGACTTTTCGCAGCAGCTCATGCAGAAGATGTGGAAAGGGTACAAGGCCAAAACCAAGCTCAACAGGACTGCATTGGTTCTGGTGCTGAACATCAGTAGCCATTTAGGGCCTTCATACCCTTGACTCGAAGCATGGGCACCAAAGCAGCATGACCAACAAGGACGACTCTCGTCCCCTGCAAACAGGCCTAAATATGTCTCAATCGTCCGGCATCACCGGTTTTTTCGTCAAAACGCTCGGCTGAGCCGAGGATGAGAAGTCGTGACTACTTCATTTTGGATGTGAAAGCCTCCGGCGACTCAGGTGCCACATGCTTGATGCCCATCCTCAGACCAATGCGGAAACTGATCAAGAGTGCGATTCCCCCGCCAGTCCCTCTGCCTCTGCCTTTGACCTATTAGTCAGGCCCATAGCCATAGATCCAGAATGACCCATGACATTCCATAAGTGGAAGAGCCCTTGAGCCCCTTGAGTCATTGAGCTTCAATCTTTCTGGTCTCTGACCACTCAAGGGAAGGTGACCCACTCACTACAACCCTGCGGCCCTAAGGGCTGCCAATGCTGCTAGTCGGCGCGGCCAGGAAAACCACGGCCAAAAGAACCGCGCAGAACCTGGACAGGTCGGACGGCCCCTCCTCCCACCCGAGAAGACCGTCGGCTGGTTCATTGGCATGTTCACCAAATGCCACTCTACATGGCATGTCAAAAGAAGGGAAACTTCAACATACCCAACGAATTTCCAGTGGAAGACGACAAAAGACCTGAAATCTAGACAGCTTGGTGCACATCGACTTTGGTCCGTTCGACTCGCATCAAGTCATCAAAGACAGGGCATTGGTGAGGAGTTGGTTAGATCCAAATTCAGGGCGTGGCATTCTGAATTACCTGAGAAGGGTGCTTCAAGAGGCCGCAAACCGGCCAAAAGAAGACCCTAGTGGGACTCCATCGACCTGCATCAAAACATCAGACCGGCATCTTGGCATCCCACGAAACCCGCGCGGTTTCGTGCCTAAAGCACTGAACGACTCCGATGTTGCTCAAGAGGAGGCTTACCTGGGCTGAAAAAACCTCACCAACTCCTAGCCATGGAAAAACCTACATGGAAATGGAACATGGCCCCCTTGCAAGACTGTTTTCCTCTAACTGCCGGAAGTGAACTCCGCCCAGCTTGCGGGAGGGTATAGACTCCCGTTTGTAGGGCGTGAAGTCCCACCCCACTTCCTTCTCGCTCCGTGCAACACACGCCGCGGGGCCCCGGG